AAGCTCCTGGAGAGCGAAACGTTGCCACAATAAAAATGTCACATTAGTTGCACTTGTGTCCTTTTACTTTACATATTGTCGGTAATTCTACCAACATTATTACAAGCCTGGTCTCAGTGACGAACGTCGAAACTGGTCACAGGTAAGGGGGACTCCACTGTTGCTTTGATGCTTCTTCCTTTACTGTTTCTTTCTGTTGTCTGTTCGTAAGGCATTCTCTGATCCATTGTCTGTATAGTCCTTGTGGCTTAGCGCTTCTTTTTGATTATAATAATAATCTGATCCATTGTATTTTGTATCCATGTCTACTCCACCAGTTTGTGGCTAAATCTTCGGTGTGGTACTCAGTCACATGCCTTTCCACAATCTAAGATAGTCTGCTAGCCCAGCCTAGTATCTTGTGTAGTTGGGGCTTTGTGTCGGAGGTGGGAGTTCTGGTGGGTGGGCCAGGAGGCCTGGTCCGGGACCTGACCTCGGGGTTACTGACCCCCCGAATCCATCGATGTGTGGGTAGTTATTGGGGTTGTATGACAGGATCAGGAAGCGTAATAGTAGTGATGGGATGAAGAACAGAAGAGTTAGTGATGAGGAATACTAGCCGAGTATTTTTACTAACGTAAGTATATTAATTAAGAAAAGGGCATGCAGCATCTGGTCCTAACTCAAGTCCTTTGACAAGGAACAAACCTCGAAAATAAAAACAGTGATCAACAAAGGTAGCGTTTGAGTACCCGTGTATTAACTAGTATTTACAATATATACGGAGTGCAGCAGAGCAGCGAAATGTTAACGAGTGAGAGTGAAAAGTGAGTTCACTCACTCCATTTGGCTTTCACCTCGTAAAAGAAAGACCAGTATGTGTACTGAGCCTTCTGGTGAGAAGCAATTTTTTTAATATCTCGAAAACCAGGCTCGAACTCTGCAGTGGCCAGTCGACCATTGGACAGCAGTTGTTCACACGGTGTTGTATGGTAAAGCACAGGAATGTACTTCTAGCTCAGGTGATGAAGACTCTAGCATGCTGAGTACTCACACTGGGCTCTTGTATGAGGTGAAAGCCAATTGCAGTGAGTGCACTCGCTCTTCTCTCGCTCATTAACATTTGGTACTCTGTTACTCTCTGTATATATTGTAAATATTGGTGGAGGGAATATATGGGTACTCAAACACTTTTCTTGGTGTTTGCCTTTGTCTATTTTCAATGTTTGTTCTTTGTATGGGGACTTGATTTATGGCCAGGTACTACATACATGCTTTTTCGTAGTAAGTATGAGCAGAACTCAGGTAATAGTGATCGGATGAAGAATAGAAGAGGTGGTGAAGGGGATTGGAGGACTGGTTGGGGTTGAGGGGGAGTTGAGAGCTCCTCACACACCTTGACAGACCCCCACCCCAACATTGTTAGTTTCTAAGGGTCTCCGTGTAGTGTATTCTTGGGCTCTTGGGACAGCAAGAAGCCGCGCGTGGCCCTCCATAAGTCACTAGCACCGCCACCGCCTTCCTCAGGCTCCACGTTACTGTAAATATTATTGGTGCCTGGGGGTAATAAAAGGTGTCTGGTGCATGTTGCGTGGTGCTGCCCACTTGATAGGAAGAAGGTACAAGTGTTATCACTGATTGTAACTTATATTGTAGCTGATTACAGGTATCAGTGCCCAATGGCCCGGTCCCAGGCCAGGCCTCCTGCTTGATAGACTGACCAATCAACCTGACGGCACTAGCCGCATGCAGTCCAGTGTAGGCACCACAGCCAGGCATATCAGGAACTTACTGGAGGACTTATTAAGACCTTTCTTGAAGACAAGTTAGGGATCTGTAATTCCTCTTGTATTTGAAAGGACACGATTTGGACTATTCTCGAGCCACCTGATTAAGTAACATCTGGCGGTAATGTCGTGTAGCTGGAATCGTCTTCAGTGTCACTATTACACCTGCAAAGAAAATGATCGGCTGAACAACTAGAACCTTCAGAACAATAGACGCCAAGTCAATTTTGATACTCTTCAAGAAGTCACTTGTTTTCTTTAGGTCGAAACACTACTGTATTCTTAACAGCCCCATTTAATTCAGGCGATATTGCAGGCCTGGAGAATGTGCAAAAAAATCTTCACTGCCAGAACAAGTGGTGAAGTTTACAACAGGGAATTGGATATGTACCACACCAAGTGTCAAATCAGTCAGGCTGTGATGGATATGTGGGCCAGCGAGCTGCCGACATTAACAGCCGGGTTGATCAGGCTAGCACCAAACAAGCCTGGCCCAGGCTGGGGTCCGGGGGTAGGAAAATACTCAAAAACCTTCAAAGATTTATCAGAGATACCACCCACCCACTACCGCCACTACCATTACATCCAACCACCACTACACCACCACCACCACCACCAACCACCACTACCAGCCACGATTGACAACCACCATCAGTTACCCCAGCCCTTCACTGTCCGCTTACCCACTAACCACAACCTCTCCTTTTCTGTGACTGGTTTCTATTAGGCCCTTTCTACCCCACATCCTGACTTGAGGCCAGGCTTCACTATTGACCACTTGGTCAACCAGGCTCTATGTGCTAGTGACCAACATAGTCATTTCTGCTTTCTGCTGGCAATATACAATTGAAGAGTCTGGAGCCACATACGTTGACACAGTGTGCTTTAATGATACTGTGGTCTCCTTCGCTCTTAACTGGGTTTATTCCACTCTTTCTCCTATACGTTTCATTTACTACTGTGAGTTGCAGCAGTGGTGAGACGAGAAGTGAGAGAGATCGCTCTCGTTGGAGAGTTTACCAGAATCTTCTTTCATTACTGGTCTCTACTCCACTAAAACCAAGATAGGTGTTCTGATTTCCTGGAAGCAAAACAAGTATCTCAGTCACTGAGATCTTCCTCCATTTACATTTTCCTGCCACTTTCATACAACATTGTAGAAGAAAAAAAAACAACGCTCCAAGATTCAAAACTATATTTTTTATCCTTCATATTTACATGGTACCTGAGAATGTTTCTGAGAGACATGAACACCACTGTTTCCATGGTACCTGAGAGACATGAACACAACTGTTTCTATGGTATCTAAGAATGTTTGAGAGACATGAACACAACTGTTTCTATGGTACCTGAGATTGTTTCTGAGAGACGAGAACACAACTGTTTCCATGGTATCTAAGAATGTTTCTGAGAGACATTAACACCACTGTTTCCATGGTACCTGCGAATATTTCTGAGAAACATGAACGCCACTGTTTCCAGGGTTCCTGAGAATGTTTGGGAGACATGAACACCACTTGTCACCTCCAACATTATCAAAGACATTACTAAGTCTTAAGAAGATTAGTGCCAACAATGAGGAGAATTCAGATATGGGAGAAAGATATGGAAAGATATGGGAGGAAGTGTAAAATAAACCCAGTGAGGAGCAGGGGTGCGGTGGGGACAATAAGGGAACACTGTATCAACATCCGGGGTCCCAGACTTTAAAACATCTTACCAGAAGATATCAGAAACACTGCTGGAACAAGTGTTGAAGCCTTCAAGAGGAAACAAGACAAGTATCTTCACCAGGTGCCAGATCAACCAGGCTGTGATGGATATGTGGGGCAGTGGGCCTCCAGCAGCAACAGCCTGGTTGACCAGGCGAGCACCAGATGAGCCTGGCCCATGGCCGGGCTCAGAGAGTAGATATACTCTCGAAATTCTTCAAAGGTACATGCGTACATATGAGCACAGATATAATTGCCTCCCCAGTAACATCAGCAGTCCCTGGGTTTTACATCGGAACACAGCTTCACACCACATGGACTGACCCAGGGTGAGCATAGTTATCCATGAAGACGGGAACAGAAGACAGTGCTGAATCAGCTGGCAGAACCCATGGTTCACATTCTTGTTAGCACACACTTGTCCTCCTGATCTTACATAATCAGGTTTACACCTCACAACTCATCACTTACTCTCCTGACCATATATATATACACATATGCTTACCATGAACAGTATCCATGTTGACAAAAAGCTTGGACTCCAAGTGAAACTTTATGTTGCTTCTGCCTAGCATAAATAGTGGTTTCTGTTTTACATCTGTAATTTTTCAGTGTAGATTTTTTCCCCTTTGTGAAATTTATTGCTTATTAAGTAATTCGACAACATTCTTCTGTCAAGTCGTCTCTGCTTTGTAAATCTGTCTATGATCTCTGGACTTTCTTGGGTTGTCTTAGTGAGATGCATTTTCTGAAGATAGTGTATGATTCTTTGTTCAGCTCTTTCATACATTGGTTTGGGTTTAGAGTGCTTAAGACAGTTTCACAAGGAGTGTTTGATAGTTTCTTGTTTATCTTGAAAGCAAGATACAGTACTTGTAAAAATTCTTAAATATACAGTATTTCTTAATGGCACATATTAACCCACTTTATGAAATTAAAACAGAAAATAAGATAGTTGTATATTTTGGCCATCTGATGTAGTCCTCTTTATCTACTGTCTGAAAAGGGACTTGGTGATATAGTGAAATATACTTTTTTTTTCTAGTATTTTCATTTTCTGACATGTCTTGTATTGTTCACATCCCCTTCCTTTTGCTTTTGGTCTTCCCCTTTTCTCCTTTAGTAATGATTTGAAAATGGTCCAAGATGAATCAAATGTTACACAAATAACCCGCACATAGAAGAGAGGAGCTTACAACGACGTTTCGGTCCAACTTGGACCATTTACAAAGTCTTCTATGTGCGGGTTATTTGTGTATCGTTCCAGTCACGGTATTGTGCCTTTTTTTTGTTATTTATGAATCAAATGTCATTTAGAGTTTTCTTTCCTGAATGTAGGTTATTTGTGAAGACAGAACTCCCTTTTCTCATCTGTTTTATTTAATTTGCATGGATTAATGTGTGCCATTGACCAGTATTTATTACACTTGTTTGACATATTTTAATGTGTAGTATTGTTTAAAGTTTTAGATAAATTGATTTGAAATGAGGTGTCAAATTGAAAAACTTCTTTATTTTTCAGGAACGAACATATCAACCGGTGAAGAAGTAGCCATCAAATTAGAATGCATCAAAACCAAACATCCACAATTACACATAGAGTCCAAATTTTATAAGGTAAGTGTGCAGGAATGCAAGTTGATTATGACTGGATGAAAGTACCTTTTGTTGAGAAATGTGAGGAACTGTAAAGTGTGTATGTGCTTCACAAGTAGTTTAAAACTTGGGTGTTATTTTTTATCTCAACAATTTTAATGATTAGTATTTTCTTACTGATTATAATGTAAAATGAAAAATATAATGTAAAAGAGATACATGTACTGTATCTGCAGTTAAATGTAGCCTCTCATAGATAATTAATCTTTATTGGTTGCGCGGATAACGTTTTAAATTTTTGTATCACCCACAGCACCTGACACTTACAAACATTTGAGTGCCGTATCGTCTCTCATGGATCACACTAGTATTTGCACAAGAATACTGTTAGTGTCTTGAGGACGCAACAAAACATCAAGCAGATGTACACCAAGTTATCCAATGGCAGGCAAAGAACAGTGTGATATAAAAACATCACTGAAACCCTTCCCCTCTCATTCTCAGAAAAACTGAAACAAACAATATAATACTGTACACATGGAATGGATAAGTAAATGACCAAATTAACTTTTGACCTGGACTCATGGTTAACCTCCAGATGTACCAGGTTGTAGGTACTTTCATATTGCAGTTCACTGTGGGTATTGTAGTCAAGCTTATTGATGACTTTAACAAGCTCCCTCATGAAGACCTTTGGGATCTGCCTGGTAATTTCCTTTATATCTGAAGGATGGTTGGTTTACCAACAGAACCTGATCTGTGGGTAATCGTGCTGTAGATATTTTAAGAGTATAGAAGGGCTCTGTTTTACAGTATATTGCTAATGCAGCAATTTTCAATTATACCCATTCTTCATTTATTCAGACTTCCTACAATAAATATATTCACTCTAAGCTCAGGACGAAAATATTTTAAAGTAGGTAATGTTTTCACTGTATGTACATTTTGAGGCCTAGCTCCATTACTAACCTGTTATATAATAGTGTAAACATGTTATCAGGCTTTTATATGCATTTGAAAGTGAAAAAAGGATGCATTTCATTTTAGAGCAATTTCCGCTTTACAGTGGTAGCCAGGACCTAACGTGCTGTATAAGCGGGGCCCTCCTGTACATCATACCTTTTTACTGTAGGTTCAGGAATTGTTTTACAGTTTTACTTCTGCAGCCCATACTGTATCCAGACTTGCCTGTTGCCAACCTAATTAACTAAGAACTGACAGAATGCACATGGGCTGGACAATAAGAGATGCCAATCCAATAATGATACGTATTATAAATTTTACAGAGTGATTCTTGGTCATATTACCAGACAACACACTTTTTAAGATTTTCATAGTTATGAACTCCCATGGGCTGCTGCTGTGGTCAGCTACTTGAGAAACCATGTTTTAAAGGCACTTGTGGCCTGGAATGTTGTAGAATTACACTGTACTAATAATCCCATTCATTGTACAGTGTCTGGTGATTGAAAAGTTCTTGTTATCCTTCCTGTCATCTTTGGTACATTTGTGACAGTTGCTATATTCATTCTGCAAAAGTTTAATCATCTGAATTCATTACTCCTAGAAACCATACCCCGGCCGGGATTGAACCCGCGGTCAGAGAGTCTCAAAACTCCAGACCGTCACGTTAGCCACTAGACCAGCTAGCCACAATAAGATTCGTCCAGGATTGTTTTTTAAAACGGTTTGTGACAGAGCCTACTAGGGGAAATAACCTCCTTGACTTGGTTCTTGCCAGTAGGGAAACACTAATTAATAATCTTGAGGTTAATGATGAGCTTGGGGAAAGTGATCACAAATCACTCAGTTTTAATATATCATGGAATTCCCCTAATAATGGCAATCAAGTCTCCGTCCCTGACTTTCGCTTGGCTGATTTCATAGGACTGAAAAATTACTTAGGTGGGCTGAACTGGAATGACCTGACTAAGGGTCAGGTAGGTGGTGATGGTTGCCGATATGATGCTTTCCAGGGCATAGTTCTAGCTGCTCAGTCAAATTATGTTCCAAATAGGGAAATCAGATCAAACAAAAATGATCCTAAATGGATGAACAATAGATTAAAATATCTGATTGGTCAAAAGAGAGGCATATATAGGCAAATCAAAAGAGGAAGGGGCAATTAAGAAATCGATATATTCAGTTAAAGAGAGAAATAAAAAAGGGAATTAGAAAAGCAAAAAGAGATTATGAGTTAAAGTTGCAGGAGAATCGAAGACTAACCCAAAAGGATTCTTTCAGGTATACAGAAGTAAGATCAGGGACAAGATAGGCCCACTCAAAAGTTCCTCGGGTCAGCTCACTGACAGTGATAAGGAAATGTGTAGAATTTTTAACACATACTTCCTCTCAGTTTTTACACAGGAGGATACCAGCGATATTCCAGTAATGATAAATTATGTAGAACAGGACGATAATAAACTGTGCACGATTAGGGTCACAAGTGACATGGTCCTTAGGCAAATAGATAAATTAAAACCTAACAAATCCCCAGGCCCTGATGAACTGTATGCAAGGGTTCTAAAGGAATGTAAAGAGGAGCTTAGCACACCTTTGGCTAATCTTTTCAACATATCACTACAAACTGGCATGGTGCCAGATAAGTGGAAAATGGCAAATGTGATACCTATTTTCAAAATAGGTGACAGGTCCTTAGCTTCGAACTATAGACCAATAAGCCTAACCTCCATAGTGGGAAAATTTATGGAATCAATAATTGCCGAGGCAGTTCGTAGCCACCTTGAAAAGCATAAATTAATCAACGAATCTCAGCATGGTTTTACATTATTATTATTATAATCAAGGGGAAGCGCTAAACCCGGAAGATTATACAGCGCCTGACATGGTTTCACAAGGGGCGTTCCTGCCTACGAATTTATTAACTTTTTTCACTAGGTATTTGAGGAGGTAGATCATGGTAATGAATATGATATTGTGTATATGGACTTCAGTAAGGCTTTTGACAGGGTCCCACATCAGAGACTATTGAGGAAAATTAAAGCACATGGAATAGGAGGATAAATTTTTTCCTGGATAGAGGCATGGTTGACAAATAGGCAGCAGAGAGTTTGCATAAATGGGGAGAAATCAGAGTGGGGAAGCGTTACGAGCGGTGTTCCACAGGGGTCAGTGTTGGGCCCCCTGCTGTTCACAATCTACATAAACGACATAGATGAGGGCATAAAGAGTGACATCGGCAAGTTTGCCGATGACACCAAAATAGGCCGTCGAATTCATTCTGACGAGGACATTCGAGCACTCCAGGAAGATTTGAATAGACTGATGCAGTGGTCGGAGAAGTGGCAGATGCAGTTTAATATAGACAAATGCAAAGTTCTAAATGTTGGACAGGACAATAACCAGCCACATATAAACTAAATAATGTAGATCTTAATATTACGGATTGCGAAAAAGATTTAGGAGTTCTGGTTAGCAGTAATCTGAAACCAAGACAACAGTGCATAAGTGTTCGCAATAAAGCTAATAGAATCCTTGGCTTCATATCAAGAAGCATAAATAATAGGAGTCCTCAGGTTGTTCTTCAACTCTATACATCCTTGGTTAGGCCTCATTTAGATTATGCTGCACAGTTTTGGTCACCGTATTACAGGATGGATATAAATTCTCTGGAAAATGTACAAAGGAGGATGACAAAGTTGATCCCATATATCAGAAACCTTCCCTATGAGGATAGACTAAGGGCCCTGAATCTGCACTCTCTAGAAAGACGTAGAATTAGGGGGGATATGATTGAGGTGTATAAATGGAAGACAGGAATAAATAAAGGGGATGTAAATAGTGTGCTGAAAATATCTAGCCTAGACAGGACTCGCAGCAATGGTTTTAAGTTGGAAAAATTCAGATTCAGGAAGGATATAGGAAAGTACTGGTTTGGTAATAGAGTTGTGGATGAGTGGAACAAACTCCCGAGTACAGTTATAGAGGCCAGAACGTTGTGTAGCTTTAAAAATAGGTTGGATAAATACATGAGTGGATGTGGGTGGGTGTGAGTTGGACCTGATTAGCTTGTGCTACCAGGTCGGTTGCCGTGTTCCTCCCTTAAGTCAATGTGACCTGACCTGACTAGGTTGGGTGCATTGGCTTAAGCCGGTAGGAGACTTGGACCTGCCTCGCATGGGCCAGTAGGCCTTCTGCAGTGTTCCTTCGTTCTTATGTTCTTATGTCCTTATATTTCTACACCATAGGAAGGTTAGCACAGGCACCACTGTGACCACAAATGCAAGTTTTTACAGACGAATCTCCAGCTAGCGTGGCCGTGACGAACTCTAGCTCAAGTCCCCTCACTGCCGTCAACATGACTCACGAAATCGTAATGACACGATTGCAAACAAACCATACCCCGGCCGGGATTGAACCCGCAGTCAGAGAGTCTCAAAACTCCAGACCGTCGCGTTAGCCACTAGACCAGCTAGCCACAATAAGATTCGTCCAACTAGGTATATTTCTACACCATAGGAAGGTTAGCACAGGCACCACTGTGACCACAAATGCAAGTTTTTACAGACGAATCTCCAGCTAGAGTGGCCGTGACGAACTCTAGCTCAAGTCCCCTCACTGCCGTAGAAATATACCTAGTTGGACGAATCTTATTGTGGCTAGCTGGTCTAGTGGCTAACGCGAAGGTCTGGAGTTTTGAGACTCTCTGACCGCGGGTTCAATCCGGCCAGGGTATGTTTGTTTGCAATCGTGTCATTACGATTTCGTGAGTCATGTTGACGGCAGTGAGGGGACTTGAGCTAGAGTTCGTCACGGCCACGCTAGCTGGAGATTCGTCTGTAAAAACTTGCATCTGTGGTCACAGTGGTGCCTGTGCTAACCTTCCTATGGTGTAGAAATTTTACCTAGTTGGACAAATCTTATTGTGGCTAGCTGGTCTAGTGGCTAACGCGACGGTCTGGAGTTTTGAGACTCTCTGACCGCGGGTTCAATCCCGGCCGGGGTATGGTTTGTTTGCAATCGTGTCATTACGATTTCGTGAGTCATTTACGCTAGGGGAACTATCACATTCACGGCACAACTATGGATGATTTGTAAAATTATCTGTGGTTCAGAGTGTGCCTGTCTAACTTCCTAGGTGTAATAGAAATATACTATTGGACAAATCTTATTTGCTAGCTGGTCTTGTGGCTAACTCGACGGTCTGGAGTTTGATACTCTCTGACCAGCGGTTTCAATCCGGCGGGGTATGTTTGTTTGCCAATCTGTCATTCGATTTTCGTATCTACTCCTATTTTGAAACATATCACATTCACTCTAAATATGGTTTGATTTATTTTTTTTGTTCAGAATTTTAATTATATATTATAAAATAAATCATGATTGCATAAATATTTGCAAGAACAACATAATATTCTCATTGTTGGCTTTTCTTAGTTGGAAATTTATTGTCATTAGCAGATGATATTTAATTACAGATTGCAGGGGGTGCATTAACATTTTACCTAAAATTAACCTATTGCTCTCTAATTCTCAGCTCTACTATGTACACTCTCTTCAGCACACTGCTCTATGACCCACCCAAGTTTTGTCCATATTTTATATATAAAAACACAGATTTCAGGTGTTATCTGCAAAGGATGGTATGACACTTTATATTTTTCTGACTGATATGTTGATGAGAATAAAGGGACACACAGTTTTTCACTGTGAGGACCCTCTAGTTTCACTTTGTTTTGGGCTCACTTTGTTAGGAAGTTCATTATCCATTTCTCCTATGAGTAAAGTTATTCCTGTTTATTTTTTTTGTGCATTATACTATGGTCAAAAGATTTTAGCGAAGCCTTTTCTTAGGAAAAGACACGAGAAACTCAAATGTATATACAAAAGGAATGAAAGTCTTATTATGTGATTGAGAGTCAGAACTTCTGGAGCATGTTTAGAGCTTGTTGCAACTTTGACCTTTGGTGTAAGGGGAATTTACAGAATGTACATGTTTTTGACTAATCTGGAAAAAGACATGGGGCAAGTGAACAGAGAGAGCATGTGGAGAACTAAATACTTTACATACAAGGCATTGCAAATAGTAAAGGCAAACTCTTTATATTAAATGTGCTTAAAAATGCTCTAAAAGCACTTCATGTATGAAAAAAGTTATTGAAAATTTTTAACAATTTTTAGTATTCAATCACAGCCCAGAGGCTCTCGATGGGGTTCAGGTCTGGGGTATTTCCTGGTCAGTTATCAAAGAAGGGTACCTCACAATCATGAAGCCACTTAATAACATATTTTACAGGGTGGCAAGGAGCATTGTTTTGTGTAAAAAATCATTGCACCACTTTGCTCACTTTGCTTTGTTGAATGCTCACACATATCGATGGCTGCTATTACTTCCTTCGTTGGTGACCTGCATTATGTAATCCAATGGTCTGTGCAATTTCTTTTGTCAGCGACTTATTCCTGCCCATATTAATTCGTCAGTAGTCAGAAATATCCAACAAGCTTGACCCTCGAGACCACATGACGAAGGGGAACCATGTACACAAAACTGTATGCCACACAAGCCTAGAAAGCACTTAGGATGTAGTCAGTAGCTTTAGGGAATCCTGAGATGGCCCACTATGATTTACCAGGCCAGCATAACTTTTTGTGTTGCCCAATATCCATAAAACAGACTGTAAGAGGTTAGGAAAATTGAAAAATTAAATATTTCTATACTTTGAATCCTATTTCAGGCTACATGTATTTCTGTTTTGGAACCAACCAAAATCATTCTATTTCACTGGTATATCTTCTATTCTATCAGTTGATACAAAGAAACACCCATTAAAAAAAAACTAGAAAACACATCAGCATTGCTATTTTAAACCAGACATGAGCTTTGTTTCCCATCATACACTGTCTGGGGCAGAATTTTTTTATTCTGTGCATGCTAACTGTGCAGACCAATTCTTTCATGTCCGTTCCAAAGTTTTCTGCTCGTTATATTTGAGGGCCATGCTTAAAACGTATATCTAAGTGAGCAACACTGGCATCACTAACATAGATCTACGTCAGAAACAGTGGCAGGGTTAAAAATAGAGGAAAATTCTGATCCTTGTGAAATACTACTCATATTTTCATGAGGAATTTTTTCCTCTTAATTACTCCTTTCCCTCCTGTCTTTCAAATAAAATCTCATTGTAAAAATGTTCCTTATATTCCTTTTAAATTTCTGTAGATTTAAGGAAAAAATTTCACAGTGAATGCTAGTGAAGGCCTTTTGGAATTTGAGTAAATGTTTGCCCATTTGTATCATTCTTGCATAATTTTTGTGACTAGCACTAACTTGGTGAAAACTAAAGGTATAATACATGAACTGAAGAGATAACCTATAAAGGGTTCAAGGCTTTTCAGTACCCACACTTTAAAGGTAACAAAAGTTGTCAGCAGACCCTTAACTGGCTTCAACATTAAATGTAACTTGTTCATACAAATTATTAAGTTGGGCTCTATAATGTTAAACAGAGAGCTGCAAATGTCAAGCTTTGTTGTTTATTAAGCCCTCTCCCATGAAACCTTTCAGAGTAGGTCTGCGGGAGATAATGATCCCAGACTAGGGTAAAGGTAGATTAAAGGTAACCAACCTTCTTAATGCTGAATTTTTATTTTGACCTTTTTTTCACAAGATGGGTTAGGTAATCTTGGTGCCACTTAATCACAATGAAAGTGAACTTTAATTATGGCTTTTGTTATTAACGTACATTTTATCAATGTTGCAGATGATGGCTGGCGGTGTAGGTATTCCAGGTATAAAATGGTGCGGCTCAGAAGGCGACTACAATGTTATGGTTATGGAATTGTTGGGGCCGTCCTTAGAAGATCTCTTCAACTTTTGTTCTAGAAAATTTTCTTTAAAGACAGTTCTCCTCTTAGCAGATCAACTTGTAAGTAATTTGTTCTTATTTGACTCTTTAAATTCAGAATTAGAAGTATGTATTAAAAACATTACAAATGTATTTAATAACAATAAGAAAAAACTTATGTAGGGAGCAAGGGCCTAGTAACCCCTTCTCCTGTATAAATTACTAAATTTAAAAAGAGAAACATTCGTTTTTCTTTTTGGGCCACCCTGCCTTGGTGGGATATGACCGGTTTGTTGAAAAAAAACAACAACTTTGAATTTCAATGTGCATCTGTCAGTTGCCAGATTGACCAGACTGTGCTGGATATATGGGCCAGCAGACCACCAACAGCAATAACCTAGTTGACCAGGCAAATGCATGACAAACCTGACTCATGGCCAGGCTGCAGGAGTAGAAAAACTTGAAACCGGTCATGGGTATATCACAGGTATACCATTGTCACAAACTTTTAAAGGTTTAGTGCTGACTTGCATAACCTTTTTTTCTGTCAAAAACATAATAGAATTTTTTTTTTACAATATACATTAAAAAAAAGGAATGGGGAATATACCATTTGTCACTACCTGCTGAATTTTATATCAAGTAGAAACATCACTTAGGAAGTATTGGAATATGTAATGACAACATAATATATGATATTGTGTAATAGAAGATAGGTTGTGCTAAAAATGAGAACAATGTGTCCTCTCCCAACTCTTTTTAATTCAGGGGAAGTTTAAATTTTGACAGTAAAAATTGAATATCCCATTTGGTTATTATTGTACTTGTATATAAACTGCCAGATACAGCTTAGAAGCAAGTTGTATATAATTCTTCACATTATATCCTTGTATTATATTGATAAAACCACTGGTTGGCAAAACGTCTCTACAAATAAAGATGCCAGATGTTGCACATAAGCTTAAGAGCAGTTCAAAGGCCACTTTTGAAAATTGAATACTGTCTGGAAAATCATTGAAACCTGGCCACAAATATCCTGTTACTTGGTGATTTCAGTTTAAGACATTGAAAAGGAAGAATGTAGAAAGTACTGGAATAGAGAAAATCCCAGGAGATGGTTCAGATGAACGGTCTTAAAAAAAACAAATTAAGACTAAAAAATTGGGAGATAATGAATAAAATGAATTTGAAGCAGTCTGTGGAGAAAGATGCTCCAGACACATTGCTAAGAAAAAAGATGCAAGGTAGAAAGAGAAAAGCACTCCCTCTACAAGCTAAGACAAAGAATGGCTGCTTAACTCAAGAATGAAAATACTATACTAGATTAATGGAAAACATTGATAGAGCAAAAAGCCATAATGAAATTGAAAGAAATCCAAAATACAGGAGTACCTCGGTATACATCCTTAATCCATTCCAGGACCTTGGACTTATACCAAGCAGGACGTATACCAAACGAATTTTCTCGTGAGAAATATAAGGAAAACAATTAATCCATTACCATGAAAAAAATCATATTGTTATTGGCATATTATACATTGATGAAGTTATATAAAACACTGCTTAATACTAAAATATGTAATTTAAACACTACTTAGAACTAAAATACATACATAAATACAAAAGAATTAGATGAAATGCAAATTTAACCTCACTTTACTTTGCTGAAAAGAGTAGAGTGCCTACTAGGATAGTGCTGAGAAGGGAGGAGGAGGAGGAGGAAATGTTATTGTTTGGAAGGGGAGTCCCCCTTCTCTTTTCAGTCTTGTTTTCCCTATTTGGACCTGGTGGAAGCTCACCAGGTTTGACTTTTACTAAAAATCTGTCCAAAGAACTTTGCTTCTGCCTTCTCCTCAGGATGTTTCGGAAATGTGACATTGTCTGGTCATTCTGGACAATGCTATTACAGCTTGTTTGGGCTTTGTTGGGGGTGGTACTACTCTGCAAAGTTTTTGACATCCATCCATTTGGCAAAGATTTCTGAGCCTGAAGAGAGTGCTCCTCCTTCCCAAGCTCCTTCAGCTCCTCAATGGTCAGCTCTTCCCTGTGCCCCTCCACATCACCATCACTCACATCCAGACCCATGGACCTGCCCAGAGAGACAATATCTTCCACTATAGACACAGCCTCAAAGCCCTCAAAGTCCCTTTCAGCCACTGCTTCTGGCCACAAATTCCTCCAAGCAGAGTTCATTGTTCTGTATGAAACTTCCTGCCAGGCTTTGTCAGTGAGAGTTATGCAATGGGCGATAGTACTGACACTGGTGGACAGTTGTGGCTTTGTCTCGAGAGAGAGGTAAGCAAGGGTAGTGAGCGGTGTTGTGACTCATTTTGACCCATATAAGTTCTAGGATGCAAGTCGTATTCCAAACAAAGGTTGTATGCCAAGCAAAAATTTTTGCGTCCAAACAGGATGTACGCCAAGTTGGACTTATTCCAAAGTGGACATATACAGAGGTACCCCTGTAATTTTTCTCTTTTGAAAAAAAAAAACAGATCTAGTATGAAGCCCTTGCATCAGAAGATGGAACTTACACTGTTGGAGACAAAGAAAAGTGAAATATTGAAATGACAATATGAGTGTGGTCATTGAACCATTAATCAGATTAAAGATTGACAATCTTAATAAATTTTTCATAATTCAGACTTTACTTGGAAAAAGCCATTGATAAAATGTTCATACAGTCTGCCCAGGCTGAGACTCATGGAAATTCATATTCATCAAGAATGGCAAGAAGTCACCACCATATGCCTTTAAATATTTTATGGAGATGGTGTCTGGACATCTTACATTTACAAAGGTAGCAGACCCTTAACTTTCCATAGTTATAGCCTATCTTAATAAAAACCATCTAAATAGTAGTGTACCACACAAGAACAGTATTAATATCCCCCTCTCTTACTTTTTAAATTTTCTCTTTTGACCTCTTAGCTTGACATTTAGTTCATATGGTACTTAGGCTTTTTCACAATCCTCATGTTTAATTTAATTTGATTTTGGGTACCTTCCTATGTCATTTGTTAGTCAGAATTTTTTTTTCTTCCGTTATCCTTTAGTATATAACATTTCAGTTTTTCTCTTCAAATCAAGTCTGATGCTTTTCTTACTGCAGTTTGTACTGGAATTTTAATGAATTACTGTATTTTAGTTTTTAACAGTCATAGGTTGTACAGAATATTGTATGGTGTTCACTGATCTTTTTATAGAATTTTATATACTGTAACTCATGTTTGTTTTTCCTTTTCAGATAACCAGGATAGAATATATCCATAGCAAGAATTTCATCCACAGAGACATAAAGCCAGACAACTTCCTCATGGGCTTGGGAAAAAAAGGAAACCTTGTTTATATCATTGACTTCGGTCTAGCAAAAAAATACAGAGATTCTCGTACACATCAACACATACCATATCGGGAAAACAAAAATTTAACTGGTACTGCACGTTATGCCTCTGTTAATACTCATCTCGGCATTGGTAAGTACATGTATATCACTCGATGGTAATGTTTTTTTTACTGCTAACAGTGTGTTTAGCAATACAGCCTCTTCTCACTTAACAACAGAGTTCCATTCCTAAGACCTCATTGGTAAACGAATTTGTTGCTAAGTGAGGAGCATACTATAATGATAATGGGTTTGTGTCAACCATCTTTCATATTGTTTTAATGTCACTTTTGCACCATTTATAACATTTCTGGTATATTTTTAAATGTCTATACAGTAGTGTACTCTATGTTGTAATAAATAGAATAGAAGAAATCAGCTCTAATATACATTATTGAGGTGTGCATACTGGTCAGAGAACCAGTCGTAAGTCTGAGTTGTCAGCAAACGAGGAGAGGCTGTATTAAATTTTTTTTTAAATTAAGGTAAATAAAATTGATAATTAGAGCCTGTTCTGGAAAATCATCTATTTTATTAAAAGAAAATTTATCCCGATGATCAAAATGTGAGGCATTGCAGAAATTAAGGTTGAATTCAACATTTAAATGTTGGATATAAAATGAATGCCTTATAAAATAATATAGAGCTTAAAGCTATGAAGTAACATTTCATGTTGGGGAAGTATGGCTGTAAATTACATGGGCTATAAACAGGCTTTCAAACTTGTGGATTTGCAGAGAATGATTCCATTCTGCTTTCATTGATAGGAGTTGACATACACCTGTGTGTGTAGGAAAGGTCATTGCAAATAGATTTACATGGAAAGTAAACCATTTTGGGTTAATGTCTAGTGGACATCAATTATTTGTACTGGTTACATGTTTGAAATCTGCACTACAAATGATTTTCATGACTTAGGAAGTGAAAACATATGGGGAAAAATAGGGTTGTAGATCTTAGACCTCCAAGAAAGTCATAAAATTTTTTTAATGCCATAGTGTATCTTACCTAACATTGTTGATGATGAAATACCAGAACTCTAGTGAGGTTGCATTAGTACTGGTAGGCAGCATTCTTATCAGATACAAGAGGACCCTACTTATACAGCAGGTTAGGTTCCAGGCTACTGCTGTAAAGCAAAAATCGCTGTAAAGTGAATCTTAGCCTTTTTTCACTTTCAAATGCATTTCAAAACCTAATAACATGTTTACACTATCATATATTAAGTGAGCAATATAGCTAGGCCTAAAAACATATACAATACACACATTCCCTTAAAATACTTCATCAATAGCTTATAGCGAGTGGTGAAAATATTGTAGGAAGTCTGAATAAATGAAGAATGGGTATAATTGAAAACTGCTGTATTAGCGAAATGCTGTAAAGCGAAACACTGTACAGTGGGGCCTTCCTGTACTTCCACAATCACGATTACCTACCACTTTATTTCCAAGGCCTGGGGAAGGCTGGTTGTTCTTGACTCAGTTTGTGTGTATTCCTTTGATAACATCACTGGTATACAATACAGTAACAGACTAATAGGGATGTCTGTTTTATCAGATTAATTTTAAAAAATGGCAATAAAATGCACTAAAGCTCTACTACTAATATGGTATTTAACATAGTTTACAGATTTTTTCCTTCAACACTGGCCATCTCCCGCCAAGGCAGGGTGACCCAAAAAAGAAACACACTTTCACCATCATTCACACATAATCACTGTCTTTGCAGAAGTGTCCAGATACGACAGTTTAGATGTCACTCCAAACTGTTCATATCTCAAACCCCTCCTTTAACCCTTTGACTGTCAAAACTCCAAATCCTGAGGTGTCTCCTGGTGTTGCAAAATATTTGAAAAAAAAAAAAAAATTTCTTATGAAATGATAGAGAATCTTTTCCCGATGGTAATGACACCAAAAACTTATGGAATTACGCTCTTGAGAAGTTAGCGACCTCGGCTATATTTATTAATCAGCGATTTCACCCACTTTGAGCCCTATTTTCGGCTAATTCCATTGTTCCAGTCGACCAAACTCATAACTATTTCAACTACCCAACAAAGTGGTCAGAAATTGGCAATTTGGCCAGTTTCACGCAAATTAAAAAACATGCCAATTTCAAAATAGGGTCCAGAATGAACAATGCAGACATTCCTGGCTCTAAAATGACTTTTTCTTTGTTCATCAGTCACGTCTCCAGGCCCCTCTATATTACTCTTGCTTTCTATTTTGAATTTTTATTCAAACAAAAAATAGGAGATTTATTGTTATGCAGACTACTGCAATATTGTAATAATTATTTAAATAACATCAACCCATTCATGACTGCATATTAGAATTTCTAGTTGGACATTGACATCATTTGTTTACTCTTGAACATCAGCAGAAATCAAACATTTTCCCTACTTTGAGCTCCATTTCAAGGACCTTTTCATAGTAAAACCAATCAAAATCACGTCTATTTCTATAATATGTTTTCCATTCTATCAACTGTGACTACGAAAACGAGAATATAACCATAAAAACTATACGAAAATACACCTCAAAGTCGGCATTTTAATCTAAAAACATGGAGTTTTTTTCTCATTATGCACTGTGTGCTGCAGGATTTTTTTATATGGTGCACACTGACCACACAGACCCATTCTCTCACATGTGGGCCTACCAGCTTTCTCCTGCTTGATTTGAAGCCGCTAGAATTGTTGAGTATATATACGTATATATAGGTAGTAGGTTGGTAGACAGCAACCACCCAGGGAAGTACTACCGTCCTGCCAGATGACTGTGAAACAGAAACCTGTAACTGTTTTGCATGATGGTAGGATTGCTGGTTTCTTTTTCTGTCTCATAAACACGCTAGATAACAGGGATATCTTGCTACTCCTACTTACACTTTGGTCACACTTCACAGACACGCACATGCATATATATATATACATACATCTAGGTTTTTCTCCTTTTTCTAAATAGCTCTTGTTCTTCTTTATTTCTTATATTGTCCATGGGGAAGTGGAAAAGAATCTTTCCTCCGTAACCATGCGTGTCGTATGAGGCGACTAAAATGCCAGGAGCAATGGGCTAGTAACCCCTTCTCCTGTAGACATTTACTAAAAAAGAGAAGAAGAAAAACTTTATAAAACTGGGATGCTTAAATGTGAGTGGATGTAGTGCGGATGACAAGAAACAGATGATTGCTGATGTTATGAATGAAAAGAAGTTGGATGTCCTGGCCCTAAGCGAAACAAAGCTGAAGGGGGTAGGGGAGTTTCAGTGGGGGGAAATAAATGGGATTAAATCTGGAGTATCTGAGAGAGTTAGAGCAAAGGAAGGGGTAGCAGTAATGTTAAATGATCAGTTATGGAAGGAGAAAAGAGAATATGAATGTGTAAATTCAAGAATTATGTGGATTAAAGTAAAGGTTGGATGCGAAAAGTGGATCATAATAAGCGTGTATGCACCTGGAGAAGAGAGGAATGTAGAGGAGAGAGAGAGATTTTGGGAGATGTTAAGTGAATGTATAGGAGCCTTTGAACCAAGTGAGAGAGTAATTGTGGTAGGGGACCTGAATGCTAAGGTAGGAGAAACTTTTAGAGAGGGTGTGGTAGGTAAGTTTGGGGTGCCAGGTGTAAATGATAATGGGAGCCCTTTGATTGAACTTTGTATAGAAAGGGGTTTAGTTATAGGTAATACATATTTTAAGAAAAAGAGGATAAATAAGTATACAAGATATGATGTAGGGCGAAATGACAGTAGTTTGTTGGATTATGTATTGGTAGATAAAAGACTGTTGAGTAGACTTCAGGATGTACATGTTTATAGAGGGGCCACAGATATATCAGATCACTTTCTAGTTGTAGCTACACTGAGAGTAAAGGTAGATGGGATACAAGGAGAATAGAAGCATCAGGGAAGAGAGAGGTGAAGGTTTATAAACTAAAAGAGGAGGCAGTTAGGGTAAGATATAAACAGCTATTGGAGGATAGATGGGCAAATGAGAGCATAGGCAATGGGGTCGAAGAGGTATGGGATAGGTTTAAAAATGTAGGTTAGAGTGTTCAGCAGAAGTTTGTGGTTACAGGAAAGTGGGTGCGGGAGGGAAGAGGAGCGATTGGTGGAATGTGATGTAAAGAGAGTAGTAAGGGAGAAAAAAGTTAGCATATGAGAAGTTTTTACAAAGTAGAAGTGATGCAAGGAGGGAGAGTATATGGAGAAAAAGAGAGAGGTTAAGAGAGTGGTGAAGCAATGTAAAAAGAGAGCAAATGAGAGAGTGGGTGAGATGTTATCAACAAATTTTGTTGAAAATAAAAAAAAAAGTTTTGGAGTGAGATTAACAAGTTAAGGAAGCCTAGAGAACAAATGGATTTGTCAGTTAAAAATAGGAGAGGAGAGTTATTAAATGGAGAGTTAGAGGTATTGGGAAGATGGAGGGAATATTTTGAGGAATTGTTAAATGTTGATGAAGATAGGGAAGCTGTGATTTCGTGTATAGGGCAAGGAGGAATAACATCTTGCAGGAGTGAGGAAGAGCCAGTTGTGAGTGTGGAGGAAGTTCATGAGGCAGTAGGTAAAATGAAAGGGGGTAAGGCAGCCGGGATTGATGGGATAAAGATAGAAATGTTAAAAGCAGGTGGGGATATAGTTTTGGAGTGGTTGGTGCAATTATTTAATAAATGTATGGAAGAGGGTAAGGTACCTAGGGATTGGCAGAGAGCATGCATAGTTCCTTTGTATAAAGACAAAGGGATAAAAGAGAGTGCAAAAATTATAGGGGATAAGTCTGTTGAGTATACCTGGTAAAGTGTATGGTAGGTTATTATTGAAAGAATTAAGAGTAAGATGGAGAATAGGATAGCAGATGAACAAGGAGGCTTTAGGAAAGGTAGGGGGTGTGTGGACCAGGTGTTTACAGTGAAACATACAAGTGAACAGTATTTAGATAAGGCTAAAGAGGTCTTTGTGGCATTTATGGATTTGGAAAAGGCGTATGACAGGGTGGATAGGGGGGCAATGTGGCAGATGTTGCAGGTGTATGGTGTAGGAGGTAGGTTACTGAAAGCAGTGAAGAGTTTTTACGAGGATAGTGAGGCTCAAGTTAGAGTATGTAGGAAAGAGGGAAATTATTTCCCAGTAAAAGTAGGCCTTAGACAAGGATGTGTGATGTCACCGTGGTTGTTTAATATATTTATAGATGGGGTTGTAAGAGAAGTGAATGCGAGGGTCTTGGCAAGAGGCGTGGAGTTAAAAGATAAAGAATCACACATAAAGTGGGAGTTGTCACAGTTGCTCTTTGCTGATGACACTGTGCTCTTGGGAGATTCTGAAGAGAAGTTGCATGGTGGATGAATTTGGTAGGGTGTGCAAAAGAAGAAAATTAAAGGTGAATACAGGAAAGAGTAAGGTTATGAGGATAACAAAAAGATTAGGTGATGAAAGATTGGATATCAGATTGGAGGGAGAGAGTATGGAGGAGGTGAATGTATTCAGATATTTGGGAGTGGACGTGTCAGCGGATGGGTCTATGAAAGATGAAGTGAATCATAGAATTGATGAGGGAAAAAGGGTGAGTGGTGCACTTAGGAGTCTGTGGAGACAAAGAACTTTGTCCTTGGAGGCAAAGAGGGGAATGTATGAGAGTATAGTTTTACCAACGCTCTTATATGGGTGTGAAGCATGGGTGATGAATGTTGCAGCGAGGAGAAGGCTGGAGGCAGTGAAGATGTCATGTCTGAGGGCAATGTGTGGTGTGAATATATGCAGAGAATTCGTAGTTTGGAAGTTAGGAGGAGGTGCGGGATTACCAAAACTGTTGTCCAGAGGGCTGAGGAAGGGTTTGTTGAGGTGGTTCGGACGTGTAGAGAGAATGGAGCGAACAGAATGACTTCAAGAGTGTATCAGTCTGTAGTGGAAGGAAGGCGGGGTAGGGGTCGGCCTAGGAAAGGTTGGAGGGAGGGGGTAAAGGAGGTTTTGTGTGGGAGGGGCTTGGACTTCCAGCAGGCATGCGTGAGCGTGTTTGATAGGAGTGAATGGAGACAAATGGTTTTTAATACTTGACGTGCTGTTGGAGTGTGAGCAAAGTAACATTTATGAAGGGGTTCAGGGAAACCAGCAGGCTGGACTTGAGTCCTGGAGATGGGAAGTACAGTGCCTGCACTCTGAAGGAGGGGTGTAAATGTTGCAGTTTAAAAACTGTAGTGTAAAGCACCCTTCTAGCAAGACAGTGATGGAGTGAATGATGGTGAAAGTTTTTCTTTTTTGGGCCACCCTGCCTTGGTGGGAATCGGCCAGTGTGATAATAAAAAAATATACGTCAAACACGGTGGCTCGTAAGACGTATATATACAACCGAAACAGTCAAAGGGTTAAAGTACGTACAGGCATTGTACTTCCCACCTCTAGTACTCAAGTTCGGCTAACCGGTTTCCCTGAATCCTTTCACAAAATATTACCCTGCTCACACTGCAATAAACATTGAAAGTAAAAAAGTTAAAAGTACAATTTACCTAGTGGATTTTTTTTTTTTTTTTATACAGAGCAAAGCAGAAGAGACGACTTGGAGAGTCTAGGGTATGTGTTGATGTATTTCAACAGAGGATCTCTTCCTTGGCAAGGGCTCAAAGCTGCTACCAAAAGGCAAAAGTATGAAAGAATCAGTGAAAAGAAGATGCAGACGCCTATTGAGGAGCTCTGCAAAGGATTTCCTAGTGAGTAGAGACTGAGAATAAGATGCTTAATTACAAAAGTTTTGTTTTATTGATTTCTTAAATTGAATATATTTTTGTATTAAATATTTTCATCTTTTGTGATAGTTTTTTTTTTAAACCTTTCTTCAAATACATTAGAAGTTACTGTATTAATTTTTGTGGATGGTGTTATTGAAATGGATTCTTTTATAAATGTAATCTCTTAATTTTGAGCCCAGGCCATGGCAGTGTTTTATGATAATGATTTTGCTTAATACACAGTAACCACTTTGCTGGTCAATAGTACATTGCTGGCACTCCCAGTTGGTAGTTATTACAAGCCAATTTGATCTGAAAGCATCCAAAATTATCTCCATTTCACTAGTATTTTTTCATTATGTCAGTTAATATCAAGAAACAGCTAATAAAACCATGAAAACCACTCTAGTACATGCCTCAATATTGCTATTTTAAACCAAACACAAGGTTGGAGCTTATCTGTTCACATAATCCACTGCATGGGGCAGTGGATTATGTGAACACTCATCACACAGATGCATTCTCTCATGTCTAGGCCAAAATTTACCGATCACAGCATAATTAAGGGCACTATGATTAAGATGGAGATCTGTATAATTGACTGGCCTCAATGATGTCAATCTATGTGGGAGACGATGAAAAGGTTTAAAAAATGGTTTTCAGATGTATTGTCAGACTTGCATTATACTGAAATTCAGTATCAGTATTCTTGTTTTCTGTGATCAGTAGTTTTATATTTGATTTTTGTAGATGAGTTCGCAACGTACCTGAATTTCTGCCGGTCTCTGAGGTTTGAGGAAAAACCAGACTACAGTTACCTGAGGCAGCTCTTCCGCCAGCTCTTCCATCGTCAGGGTTTTACTTATGACTATGTTTTTGACTGGAATATGCTCAAATTTGTAAGTATCCTTGATGAACCTGGCCTGTAATACTATTATTATATTCATGAGGGAGTGCTCAGTCTGCACAGGCCATACATCACCCAGTAGATGGGAGGTAATCAGGTTTGATGCAAGGAAAGGGAAGGTAGCTCCAGTTCCTTAGATCAAGAACTTTTTTGCTCTAAGGCACCCATTGAGGGAAACCTTGCCTGTTATGTAGTTTGTGCTAATTACATTAATAATTAAAATGGTTATTAATCTAACATTAATATAACATATAAATAAGGGTTGAATGTGAAAAGTGGGTTATAGTAGGTGTTTATGCACCTGGAGAAGAGAGAAGTGTAGAGGAGAGAGAGATTTTAGGATATGTTGAGTGAGTGCCTGGGAAGTTTTGAACCAAGTAAGAGAGTACTTGTGGTTGGGGATCTCAATACTAAAGTGGGTAATAATGTTGTAGAGGTAGTAGGTAAATCTGGGGTGTCAGGGGTAAATAAAAATGGAGAGCCTTTAATTGAACTGTGTGCAGAAAGGGTTTGGTAATAAACAATACATATTTTATGAAAAAGAGGATAAATGAGTATACAAGATATGATATAGGATGTAATGAAAGTAGTTTGTATTGGTGGATAAAAGGCTGATGGGTAGGCTTCAGGATATACATATTTATAGAGGGGCAACAGATATATTGGATCATATAGTCGGACTTGAGTCCTGGAAATGGGAAGTACAATGCCTGCACTTTAAAGGAGGGGTTTGGGATATTGGCAGTTTGGAGGGATATGTTGTGTATCTTTATATGTGTATGCTTCTAGACTGTTGTATTCTGAGCACCTCTGCAAAAACAGTGATAATGTGCGAGTGTGGTGAAAGTGTTGAATGATGATGAAAGTATTTTCTTTTTGGGGATTTTCTTTCTTTTTTGGGTCACCCTGCCTCGGTGGGAGACGGCCGACTTGTTGAAAAAAAAAAAAAAAATCTAGTTGTAGCTACAGTTAGAGTGAGAGGTAGATGGGACAAAGAAAATGGCAACAGTAAGTAAAAGAGAGGTGAAAGTTTATAAACTAAGGGAGGAGGAGGAAGTTAGGGTGAAATAAAAGCTACTATTGGCAGAAAGATGGGCTAGTGTAAGTATGGGTAGTTGGGGGGTTGAAGAGGGATGGGATAGTTTTAAAAACACAGTACTAGAATGTGGAGCAGAAGTCTGTGGATATAGGAGGGTGGGTGAAGGAGGTAAGAGGAATGATTGGTGAAATGATGAGGTCAAGTGGTGTGATAAAGGAAAAAAAAAAGGGTAACTTACGAGGTTTTTACAAAACAGAAGTGATATAAGAAGGGCAGAGTATATGGAGAATAAAAGAAAGGTGAAGAGAATGGTGAGAGAGTGCAAAACAAGAGCAAATGATAGAGTGGGAGAGGTACTGTCAAGAAATTTTGCTGAGAAAAAGAAAAATCTTTGGAGTGAGATAAACAAGTTAAGAAAGCTGGAACAAATGGATTTGTCAGTTAAAAACAGAGTAGGGGAGTTAGTAGATGGGGAGCTGGAGGTATTGGGTAGATGGCAGAAATATTTTGAGGAACTTTTAAATGTTGGCGAAGAAAGGGAGGCAGTAATTTCATGCACCGGCCAGGGAGGTATAAAATCTTTTAGCGGTGAAGACCAGGATGTGAGTGTGGGAAAGGTGCGTGAGGCATTATGTAAAATGAAAAGGGGGTAAAGCAGCTGGAACTGATGGGATCATGACAGAAATGTTAAAAGCAGGTGAAGATAGTGTTGGAGTGCTTGATATTTCTGTTTAATAAATGTATGAAAGAGGAGAAGGTACCCAGGGATTGGCAGAGAGCATGTATAATTCCTTTATATAAAGGGAAGGGGTATGAAAGAGATTGTAAAAATTCTAGGGAATTACGTTTACTGAGTTTACCAGGTAAAGTGGATGGTAAGGTTATTATTGAAAGAATAAGAGGTAAGACAGAGAGCAGGATTGCAGATGAGGAAGGAGGCTTTAGAATGGGTAGGGAATTTGCAGATCAGGTGTTTATATTGAAGCATATATATGAACAGCATTTAGATATTTAGATAAAGGTAGGGAAGTTTTCATTGCATTTATGGATTTAGAAAAGGCGCATGATAGTGGATAGGGGAGCAATATGGCAGATGTTGCAAATATATGGAATAGGAAATAAGTTACTAAATGTTGTAGAGTATTTATGAGGAGAGTGAGGCACAGGTTAGTGTGTGTAGGAGAGAGGGAGAATACCTCCCACTAAAAGTAGGTCTTAGACAGGGATGTGTAATGTCACCATGGTTCTTTAACATGTTTATAGATGGGGTTGTAAAAGATGTAAATGCTGGGGTGTTGGGGAGAGGGGTGGAATTAAATTGTGAGGAATCAAATACAAAATGGGAGTTGACAGTTACTTTTTGCTGATGATACTGTGCTTTTGGGGGATTCTAGAGAAAAGTTGCAAAGGTTAATGGACAAGTTTGGGAGGGTGTGTAAAGGTAGAAAGTTGAAAGTGATCATAGATAACAGTAAGGTGACGAGGATATCAAATGATTTAGATGAAGAAAAATTGGATATCACATTGGAGGAGGGAGTTTGAAAGAAGTGAATGTTTTCAGATATTTGGGAGTTGACTTGTCAACAGATGTGTTTATGAAGGATGAGTTTAACCATAGAATTGAAGGAAAGGCGAGTGGTGCATTGAGGTATCTGTGGAGACAAAAAATGTTATCCATGGAGGCAAAGAAGGGAATGTACAAGAGTATGGTAGTACCAATACTCTTATATGGGTTTAAAGCACGGGTTGTAAATGCTGCAGCAAGGACGAGGCTGGAGGCAGCAGAGATGTCGTATCAAAGGGTAGTGTGTGTGGTGTAAATATTATGCAGAGAATTCGTAGTATGGAAATTAGGAGGAGGTGTGGAGTTACTAAAAGTATTAGTCAGAGCTGAAGAGGGGTTGTTGAGGTGGTTTGGTCATTTAGAGAGAATAGGACAAAGTAGAATGACTTTGAGAGCGTATAAATCTGTAGGGGAAGGAAAACAGGGTAGGGGTCGTCCTCAAAAAGGTTGGAAGGAGGGGGTAAAGGAGGTTTCGTGGGAGAGGGGCTTGGACTTTCAGCAAGCATGCGTGAATGTGTTAGGAGTGAATGGAAACGAATGATTTTGGGGACCTGACGAGCTGTTGGAGTGTGAACAGGGTAATACTTTGTGAAGGGATTCAGGGAAGCCCATTAGCTGGACTTGAGTCCTGGAAATGGGAAACTGCCTACACTTTAGGAGGTGTTTGGGATATTGGCAGTTTGGAGGGACATCTAAACTGTCGTATCTGAGCACCTCTGCAGAGAGAGTAATTACGTATGAGTGATGGTGAAAGTGTTGAATGATGAAAGTTTTTTTTTTCTTCTTTTTGGGTCACCCTGACTCGGTGGGAAACTGCCGATGTGTTAAAAAAAAAAAATGAATGTTATATGGTTATGGTGTCCATTTTATTTTTAAAAAAGCACTCGGTTATATGCACCATTTTTTTTTTCAAGCCCTAGCCATCTCTCGCCAAGGTAGGATGACCCCCCCACACACACACACACAAAAAAAAAAGGAAATGCATTCACCGTCATTCAGTCACTGTTGTTATTCAGTTAATGTCTTGTCAGAAGTATATTGACCTCACAGCTCAGCTGACCCTCTGAACTGCAGCATCTTCACCCTCTACTTTAAAGTGCAGGCACACTGCTTTCCACTTCCAGGACTCTGGCTAACTAGTTTTCCTGAATCCCTCAATAAACGTTACCTTGCTCACACTCCAACAGCACGTTGGGTCATAAAACCACTTGCCTCCACCCATTCACTCAAAAACCACCTTTACCCCCTCCCCCATCATCCCTCTTTCAGGCTTTTCTGGGACAACTCCTACTCCTAAGCACATCATTTTGGGTTGGCATAAACTCGGATTAAAACCCTTTACTGGGCAATGCACTGTTTTTGGTACTAAAAGCATAGGATTCATGGCACCATGGAACCAAACAACACACTCCGAGAGACTTGAAGTCAGACAAGTCACAGGGCTTCTAGGAGCTATGTCATCTATGACGTGGCCACTTTCTATCGCATCTCATTGGCTGGGGTAGCCAAGTGCAAACAGTTTCGGCTGAATGCTCGCAGGAGGTGGATTTCTGATGCAAAAGTTCGCGTATTACCTTGATTTTCACCACTCCAGGATGGCGGTAAGTTTCTGAATTTGTTTCCAGTGTGCTTAGTTGAATATTTGAACATGCTATTCATATGCATTAATAAAAGTGACATATCAGTGATATTAATACTATTGACATATCACTGAAAATACGATCCGCAAAGGAGTCACAAACTGCGCTCTGCCTGGGAAATAGTATTTCATCTTGGGGTGCTAACTTGTGAAACAGTATGTTACACATTGCAAATGTGCATATATTTATTCATTTGTTAAACTCATGTTATGTTTTTCTTGTCATTTCAGTTCCAATTAAGCATGTTTTATGGGACAAGAGCCCAAAGGAGAATGGACTATGGCATGGCTTCTCCTCATGTTGATAGTGAATGTGACACTGACTCAGCAGAGGAGGTGGAAAGTGATGATGAATACATTCCTGATGTGACAACATCGAGCAAAGATAAGCAGCCAGAATTACCATGGACGAAGCAGTGAGTTAGCCACAAACGTATGTCTGTGACAAGACAAGGAATTGAGGATAAGGAAAATGTACAAAACATCCAGCATTTAATGCAACTGGGACAAAGTTGACGAGGAAAATGAGCCATTATCCAAGTACAGACGTGAACCTACACATATTACCTGTCCATTTGAATATTTTTCCCAAACATTTACTAAAGATTTTTTTTTCTTCAACGAATTAGCTGTACCCCACCAAGGTGGGCGACCTGAAAAGAAAAACGAAAGTTACTAAAGATCTGGTAAATGAAATTGTGTTTCAAACAAATTTGTTTGCTCTGCTAAAAATCCTAACTCTAAATTCCAGACAGTTTATGGTGAAGTGATGATTTTCATTAGATTATTGCTATATTTGGATGTAACACAAAACTCTCTCTTTAGATGATTACTTGGCCACTAAAACCAGGATTTCTCAGGTAGCAAATATAATGTCATCTAAGAGATAGTCTAGGACATTAATATTAGAAAATGAAATTAGTAAATAGAGTAGTTGGCGGTTTAGCCATAAGTTGAGGGGAGACGAGCACACGAGATGTCCTTTTTACGTATGAATAATGACAACAGATGACAGGTTCTATAAGGTCAGGCCCCTGTTCAGTGCCATCACTGAAGCTTTCTGAAGGTTCCAGAAACACCAAAGCAAAGCAGGCTATTGATGAAGTAATGGTGGGATACAAGGGCACAAGAGCTGGTACATTACTGCCTTTGCCAAGAGTATGGACCACACAGTTATATCAGCATTATATGAAGATAACTTCACCAGGCATGCATGAGCGTGTTTGATAGGAGTGAATGGAGACAAATGGTTTTTAATACTTGACGTGCTGTTGGAGTGTGAGCAAAGTAACATTTATGAAGGGATTCAGGGAAACCGGCAGGCCGGACTTGAGTCCTGGAGATGGGAAGTACAGTGCCTGCACTCTGAAGGAGGGGTGTTAATGTTGCAGTTTAAAAACTGTAGTGTAAAACACCCTTCTGGCAAGACAGTGATGGAGTGAATGATGGTGAAAGTTTTTCTTTTTCGGGCCACCCTGCCTTGGTGGGAATCGGCCAGTGTGATAATAAAAAAACTTCACCAGGCTTTTTTTGGTGAAGTTTCTGAATAGCTCATATAATTATAGGTACTGTTTGGGAAAACATCATTGGAAGACCACCACTAATGGATATCAAGGAAATGGAAAAAAAACTGTGAAAAGGGGTGTGATAGATACAGATCCTCTGATAGTGTCTTTGCTTTAAGATGGAAAGAACAAGGTTGTTATGTTGCTCACAAATGACATGGGAATTGAACATGTGACAAAGATAAGGAGGTACAGCAAGGATACCAAACATAAGGAGCACGTTGACTGTCCCTCTATCATCAAGAACTATAATGATCATATGGGAGACATAGAAGTGATATGTTGGTTCATATCTACAAAATGCCAATGAAATCAAAATGGTGGTTTATGTGCTTGTTTGCATATATCATTAATTTTGCTGTTATAAATTCTTGGTTATTGTGATTGTGATGCCAGGAAGTAAAGATTTATGCCCTTGAAGGACTTCAGGTTAAAAGTGACTTTCATTACAAAAATCTTCACAATTGGAAATAGCAAGCAGCCTGAGATCTCCAATGACATCTTGGTCCACTTCACATGCTTCAAGTGCATCAAGTGAAAGTGTCTCTTTGGGACAGAGAGAGAGATCTAATCCTGTGAAGTATCAATGTGCTGTCATACCTGATGATATTAGGGGGTTTAATGCAACATTACCTCACTGTTGAATTCATGCAAGTTCTGCAACAACAGAATGAACAAAAGCAAATCAGCTGTGCAAGATGAATTTCTGCATGAACAAAAGTAGTAATTGTTTCATTGATTTCCATACCCTTTCCGGTCTAGAATAAAATGTAATGAGAAGTAAATTTTTTTTATGTAAAAATACTTCATGAGACATCCTCTAGTTTTTTACAGCATCAGTTATCCATTGCCATGGTTTTTACAATGTATGTAAATTCATATAATTTTTTTTTGTGTGTTCAAGCACTATGGAAACAAGTTAGTACTGTATATTTTTTAATGAATAATAAATTTTAAAAATATTTGTCAGTCTTTTATTAACATTTTTAATTATTATTTTTTGGGAAGTTGTTTTACCATTATATGGCAGAGGGACATTTTCGACTCTCGGTTTTTTTAATTTTAAGGCCCAAAAGAAAATAAAAATTTGAAAGAAGCTTTAAGCCTATAGGAACAGAAATTTTATTTCTTGCTGATTTCAGTGTCTGCCTGGTAAAGGGTTAAAACTAATTTATACTAATAATGGTCTACAATTAATGTGAAACTATTTAGATTGTTTAGTAGAATTTGTGCTTCTCAAAGATAAAGATTAACATAAGGCAGTAGGTTGGTAAACTGGAACCATCAAGAGGGTTCACTACCATCCTGTCATATGACTGTAAAGCTATTAAAGCCTGTTAAATATTTTGCTCTTGGCTCCTTTAGGTTTCTGACCTTTGCTGTAAAATTTGTAGTGCAGTAATAACTACTGAAGGTAAGAATTTAGTAGTAATCTAAACTGTCGTATCTGAGCGCCTCTGCAAAGACAGTGATTATGTATGAGTGATGGTGAAAGTGTCGAGTGATGATGAAAATTTATTCTTTCTTTTTGGGCCACACTGCCTCAGTGGGAAACGGCCGATGTGTTAAAAAAAAAAAATTGGTATTGACTGATTATGATGGTACAAGTACCAGCCTTAAATTAAGTATTAGCAAAAATTTTGGTATCCCATCTTCACTTGTTCAATGGGATGTGGTGACCTATGGATTACTTCTGTTATTGGGACCTTTGAGTTTTTGGTAGTAATTTGTATAAATACTGTTTGAACTCATAATTTCACCTTTACTGCTTGTATTTGTACATTGCATTTCAGGTGTGCAGTTGTTAATGACTATACTCTGGTATAAATTCTATTTTAATGTCTTCACTTTGACTTCTATATAGTTTGCAATGTTTTCAGGGTCTAGAGCCAAATGGCTGCATTGCTTACTACAAACCCTTGTATCTTATTTTATTTTTCTATGACAAAGAAAACAACAACTTTATAGTATCCTTCCAATGCATCTTACTTTCTCTGTTTACATCTGTCGCCTTATGTTCTTGTTGATTGGGCTACGAAATCTTATTTATAAATCTCTTGTTATTTTATGACTTTGTGGCTAATGTGTCTCCTATTTTTCTTCCTATTATCTATTGTTGTCGTTTAGTATTTTCATTTTATTTTTGTAACTAATTTTTTTTTTAATCTCTGGGGCTAGTATGTAGCTCCTTTTCCATTTTTTTTTTTTTTAGTCTGTTCATTTCTCAATTACTTAAATTGGTTTAGTACTCCTGGGAATATAAAAACAATCAAACTTGCCTCCCATCACCTCCTTTTTTGTACTGCAGACACCTACCTACTGGTTTGTTTCAATTTTTGCTCTTGTTGGAAATTTCTCATTTATATATATGAAGTCTGTTTTATAGTTTGCCACTGTAGCACAAGGAACTCTTATGTTCCTCATGATTTTGTTTGAGGTCTTATAGAGACCATGTAAATAAAATGATTCTTAGATTCCCTATTTGATGTTTATAATATTTTATCATGATCTGTACTCATATGGCCTGTTATTGCATACTCCCATTTCTATTACATGGCACTTCTTTATTTTATTTTCCAATGAACTGGCTGTATCCCAACAAGGCAGGGTGACCCTAAAAGAAAAACAAAAGTTTTTCTTTTTAAATTTAGTAATTTATACAGGAGAAGGGGGTTATTAGCCCCTTGCTCCTGGCATTTTAGACACCTGTTATGACACACATGGCTTGTGGAGGAAGAATTCTTTTCCACTTTCCCTTGGAGATAAGAGGAAATAAAGAAGAACAAGAACTATTAAGAAAATAGAAGAAAACCCAGATGGGAGTCTAAATATATATGCATGTTGTACATGCATGTTTAGTGTGACCTAAGTGTAAGTAGAAGTAACAAGACATACCTGAAATCTTGCATGCTTATGAGACAGAAAAAAGACACCAACAATCGTACTGTCATGTAAAACAATTATGGGTTTCCATTTCACACTCATGTGGTAGGAAGGTAGTACCTCCCTTGGCAGTTGCTGTCTACCAACCTACTACTTCATTACATGGCATTTGTCTACATTAAATTCCATTTTTCAACAAACTGGCCATATCTCACTGAGTTTATCAAAGTTATTGTAGTGAATGCTTTTTGTATATTTGTTTTTTCTTCACTGGCCATGAGTAATACTTGTCTTCTAGTATCTGATTATTCTTTGTGTAATGTTACACTATATACTGATCTTTTGACAAAACCTGACATATATTCTGTACCGAGCATTTTTTGTACTAACAGGGTGGTTCACGAAATCAAGAAAATGAGGTGGAACGAAGAGATCGTCAGAGCCACAAACCCCAAGCCACAGGTGCCACATCCCGGATACGGCACGACACAACCGTCGGGGGTGTTTTGCCCTCCCCAACAGCGGGTGAGTTGCAAACTCCCCCAACACGCTCTGCCGGCTCTGCCCTTCCAATTCCCGGTCATCACACTCCCTCCATATGTGACCTGGAACCCTTGAGGCCAATGCTGCTCAAGACCTCGTGGGTTCCCAGGTCACGGCCAGTCACTAATCGCACTGGCTGCCTTGACTAAGTGATTACCCTGTTGCACTTCTGCCATCTGCACGCTACTCAGATTGTTGTTCATCACCATTATCATTTTCACATCCCTTAAACTAATTACTAGTTTCATTTTCCCAAACTACATAACCTGTTAATTATTTTTTATTTCTGATCTAATCTTTCTTCGTCTCTTGTATAAAAAATATGCTTTTCTATTAGAATTGCTAACTTCATTTGCTTCTATCTAATTTATATGTAGATTTTGGTATTTATAGCCATTATTGCTTCTTGAAGGTTTGTTTTATTCATGCCAAGTGAAATTAAATCATATTTTACTTTGTTGTTTGTATTACCAGATTTTTATTGGCACGAGGGCTAATGTAAAAGGGCCACTGTGTATTTTGGCTCAAGTCTTCCTACTATCAGTCTTAGATCTTTCTTTAAACTTGATGTATGTAGCTCAGTGTGTGACAGTCATGTAGTATAACCTATAGGTAGTAATTCAATTAAGCTCATTTTCCTTTTCATATCTTAAAAGGAAATGTGCTGTATTGGATCTCTTTAATGACTATTAACTCATAATGTCACATGGTGAGCAGATATCTTTCCCTAGTTAGATAATCTTACATTTTGCTCTCCCCCTTACAGGGAAACCACTTGTTATTTGAACCCCAAGGAACCAATAGCCATTCAATACTCCTGGAAATCACTTGATAGCAATTAACAAGTATAGGTTATTGTAGTATCAAGAATGTTCCACCTGGACTTCAGAAAAGCTGTCTTTCAGTTCAGAAACCTCTTTCAAGACCATTCTTCATGTAAGCTGCACTGAATATTATGCACTGATAGGAACTTCACTGCTCCTTGTAAGCACCTTTGTATTTTATGGTTTTGAAATACAATTGATGTAGCTATTGATGGCAGGTTAAAGATGAAGATATTTCATATAGAGAGACTTGAACTGCATATTTTTTTGTAAATATTCGTTGCCTTTTGTGTTGTATATAAAGTAAAAGTAAACGTCATATTACTGCTGTATTTTTTATTTAGGTTAGGTTTTCATCAAAGTGTTCCATCAGATTTCAATTGTCCTCAAACTCATTTATACAGCATTTGTAACATAGTGGGTTGCATTCATGTAGTTTGTGTGTGCTCATGTATAGTGCTTGCTGTTGAACTGTGCATGACAGTGTTCAAGAGACGGATGGATTATAGAATGATAGGGCATTTGTATATGTACAACAATTGTTTTTACCATGATGTATGACAGATGTATGAATAAATATATTTCAAGTACTGCTTTGTGCTATCTTTTGTAAGTGTTCCTTCATTTGTGACCTTGGCATTAGCCCTCTTGCCTTTTTTAATTCCTTTTCCCTGATTTATTTATAAACAAAATGATTTTTTTTTGCTTTGCATGAATTTTTTTTAATTAACTACAGAAAGTACCATTATTTATAATTCTGCATAAAAACAAAGTACAATAATTGCCTATTAGTGTATTTATGTAATGTGAAAGTACAAACAAATTTTAACATTTAATACAGTATTACAATAATTAGGGCCCTGACAGGGCAATAAAAGTACTGTGATATCACCCAAGAAACAAAGAAAAGACAGGAAACAAACATTTGTGTAGCAATCTCAAGTAATTTTTTTTATTTACAAAATTTACAAATGGACACTACAAAAATTTTCTATTTCTGGGTAGATAAAATCTTAAAATTAACAGGTTAAATTTGACATAATTAAATTAGCTATAAACTTCATTCTCTTTCAATCTGCATATATTGAATTTATGAATACACTTGTTAAAGCTTAGTATAAATTAGCTTGTATGAAGAAAACTATTCTTGATAAAAATTTAAAATAAAATAATAAACAAGTGGCCTTGGCCATTGTTTTAACTAGTGATTAATTCATTTGCATAATAAAGTACTTCATGAATAATGTATAGCCTTACAGAGCATATGTTCTTTTATGAATGAAGTTAAAAGGAGAAAAAAAAAACATTCGACTTAGGGATTTTAAACACTTAACCTATAATGTGCTCTTTCAGTATTCACAAGGGATGCACTCTGCGAGGTCTTGGCTGGTGAATTTGCAGATGTGGAACATATATATCAGTGGTCAAAGCAGGGTTGTGTTCAGAACCCCATGGACCCAGTACCTAGTTGTTAGTCTTAACATTTTGTGCTATTTTTAGTAAATTTTAGTACAAATTTGAGTAATTAACGAACATATTTACTCGGGGACATCATAATGTATGAGCCGCACATCTGGGAGTCAAGTATGTGAATAATAGCAAATACATTATGAGAACCGTGGATTATACACAAGGTCAGTTCATGTGTTACTGGCAATAGGATATAATCCAGGATTCATGGATGAAGACATTTGTGAATGTAAAAGTTGACACTGAAGGAGTACAGTACATAGATTTTATGAGATAGCTTTAATATGCACAGTATGTGAAGAGTTCTTCAACAGAATTCTGGAAGAGCAGGGACATGTGTATCCTCAAGACTTTGAATATGTGTAAATATTGGATAAATTATCATTATCAGATGCATAAGTTTTTTTTTTCTCTCCAAACCTTGATTTATCATTATGAGAAACATAAGTGGATTTTTTTTTTAAATAAAGACAAAATAAGTATTTTGGGAAAGAATTACATTCAGTAAGGAAGTTTTTATTTAACTGTCACATCACATTTGCAATTGCTGTTTGATGAAATTGTAACAGTAGAATGGTATTAATATTAGGTTCACGGTACTCTAATTCTTAGATGATTTAGTCCTGACCACCCTAGCATTTAATCTGTTTATTCACTTTATCTTCCCTATTAACCTTATTCTTTCCAGTAAACATTACATGACAGCATTTCTTCTCATCAGCCAGCTTTTTGTCTTACACTTTGTAATACTATCATTTACCTCTAACACCTCATCTGCAGTTATTTAAATGCATGTTTTGTCATATTTGGATATTGATTTTTTTTTCTGACCCCTTTTAATTAAAGGGTAAATGTACAACTTTGCTAATCCCCACTGCTAATGCTATATCTTAGCTTGCTTTAACATCTGAAGCTTTTAAAAAGAACTAATATCTACAGCACCCTTATGCTTAATGTTGAAAGTGTAATCTTCATCTTTAATGCCGTCTTCAGCTTAAATCAAGATTGCAATTGCAGTATGCTCTAAAATGCTAATCTCAAAGTCAGTTAAGTCCGGTTCCAAAACTATACTAATACTAACATTTTTCTTTAAAGTAAGACTTAAAGTATGGTCAAGAAGGCTTCCCTTTTTTAAGTGTTTTTTTATTGAATATGATTTAAGCCCTTTATTTGTGGCTTGCTCTAATATTTGTAGTAATGATGCCCTTCATTATTCATATCCTGTTTTATTAATATGTAAATAATACTACTTACAGTATCCTTTTAGAATTTTGAATAGACCCCTCACTTTGTGTCGTTCACAATTCTCATGTGAAAGTTAACTAATCCTTCCAGCATTTTTCTGTACTACTGTTTTGCAGAGTGGACTTGAAAAACAGGCCATACCTATATTTTACTTGTGTTAACTGCGTTTTGAAACCACTCATCACATGCACACGTGCACGTACACATACATGTACACATTGCCTTACCGTAGTTTGGAAGTTAGGAGGAGGTGCGGGATTACCAAAACTGTTGTCCAGAGGGCTGAGGAAGGGTTGTTGAGGTGGTTCGGACATGTAGAGAGAATGGAGCGAAACAGAGTGACTTCAAGAGTGTATCAGTCTGTAGTGGAAGGAAGGCGGGGTAGGGGTCGGCCTAGGAAAGGTTGGAGGGAGGGGGTAAAGGAGGTTTTGTGTGCGAGGGGCTTGGACTTCCAGCAGGCATGCGTGAGCATGTTTGATAGGAGTGAATGGAGACAAATGGTTTTTAATACTTGACATGCTGTTGGAGTGTGAGCAAAGTAACATTTATGAAGGGATTCAGGGAAACCGGCAGGCCGGACTTGAGTCCTGGAGATGGGAAGTACAGTGCCTGCACTCTGAAGGAGGGGTGTTAATGTTGCAGTTTAAAAACTGTAGTGTAAAGCACCCTTCTGGCAAGACAGTGATGGAGTGAATGATGGTGAAAGTTTTTCTTTTTTGGGCCACCCTGCCTTGGTGGGAATCGGCCAGTGTGATAATAAAAAAATAAAAAAAGAAAATAAAAATATTGCCTTACCAACTTGTTGGAATTCTATGACAGCCTAACAGATGACAGGAGCAAGAGAGATAGGTGAATTGCATTTTCTTAGACTTTATGAAGACACTTGATACTGTACCCCACAAGAGGCTTGAACAAGAACTTGAGGTGCCAGGCAGAATAATGGGGAACATTTGCCACTGGATCAAAGAGTACCTTAGGGGAAGGAAATTGTGTGATTGTCAGGGAAGAGATGTCACAAGGAAAGGGGGGGGGGATAACTAGCGAGGGTACACAAGGATTGGTGTTAGAACAAGTACTGTTTCTGGTTTATATAAATATTCGAGATGGGATTGAATAAGATGTATCCTTGTTTGCTGATGATGCAAAACTAATGAAGAAAAGCAGATGAGGAAAAGGAAAGGCTTCAAAGGGATCTGGACAATTATAAGATTAGTCAAATAAGTGTTGCTTGAATTCAACCCTAGCAAATGGAAGGTCATGAAGATTGGGGAAAGGGCCAGAAGACTAGACACTGGGTATAGACTATGGGTCAGAGGCTGCAGACCTAGTTTAGAAAGTTCTAGGAGTGATTATAGTACCTGGTATATCACCAGAGGCTCACATCAGCCAAATAACCTCTGCAATCAATACTCATATGGCAAATCTTAGGTTCAGAAATCTCAA